GACTGTAGCTTTTTTCTCCCCCAAAACTTTGTCTTCAAAATAAGGGTGCGTCTTATATTCCGAAAAATACGGTAAGTTTCTATAATGGAAATTCGATAGACAATAATATATTTATAGTTTTTATTTAAGAGGTGTGTGATTACAGATTGTCGCTTCTTTCTTTAAAAAACCTTCTATACACATGTAACATTCCATTGCGTTTTCCAGTAAGAATAATTTTCATTATCATATACGTCTTTGTAGTTACCACAGGCTTATGGTTTCGATTGTGGACGATATAACTAAACCAGGCTAGAGTTAAAATCTTTAAAGGATTTGTTGCGCCATTTCGTGGTAATAGTTACATCTGATATTGAGAAATATGATATTCTGAAAAAAAAAATTAATGCTCGTGATTTATATAATGTTGGTTGTGCCAATTGCATTGGCGTTCGTTCATGAAGGACTTGCTGTTACTTTCTTTTCCCATCGCTTTAATTAAATTTTTCTGAAAGTAATGATGAACAGATGCTTGTTGTGTAAAAATTATATAGTGCACCTTAGTAATAAGCACTTAAATAAGTACCTCACAAAGAGTTCCGCTCGTGCTTGAGGTGCCCGGCATGGCCAGGTGGATAAGGCGCTCGACTCACAATCTGAGGGTCGCGGGTTCGAATCCGCATCCCACTAAACATGCTCGCCCTTTCAGCCGTGGGGGCGTTATAATGTGACGGTCAATCCCACTATTCGTTGGTAAAAGAGTAGCCCAAGAGTTGGCGGTGGGTGGTGATGACTAGCCGCCTTCCCTCTAGTCTTACACTGCTAAATTAGGGACGGCTAGCGCAGATAGCCCTCGTGTAGCTTTGCGCGAAATTCCAAAACAAACAAACAATCAAACAATCGTGCTTGAGAAGAAATTTGCAAGGAAATTTGCCCACTTCAGTGACCCACAAACGTAAATAAAAGGACAACACCTGAGGTGGGTGCTCATCAGTAAGCAGCGCTTCAAAGTGACTGTATACCCGACAGACTTTTATTTGATTTTTGTAGCCCACCAAATAATCTTTTATAAGTAGTTAGTAAACACACAGCTCGCATACGCCTTAAAAATTAACTAGGGTATAATTATGTCTATGAAAATATCTTCCATCAACGAACTACAGAAGAGAACTAGTGATTGAAAAAAGAAAAAAAATGAACTTCATTTTCCAATAATAAGCCAAGATAAACCAAAATTGATTATGAGATCTTATGAATCTCAAAAATGATGAGACCACTTAGAACTCAAGGTGATGAAGTTACAGCAATTTATTACACATCAGTACTGCAAGCCAAATATATGGATATAATGTTTACGTGGATAATAAAAAAAGTAAAATTCATTTATGGACTTCAAACTTATCCTCCCTGTGCGTCAGCGGTAAGTTTACTGACTTACAATGTTAAAATTTAGGATTCGATTCCCCGTGGTGGACAGAATGCAGACAACCCAGTATATAGCTTTGGGGTAAAACAAGTTGAACTCAAAATCTGTGTGACTCACAATCCAATCTTATAATCTCCCTACTTTACCTTGAAACTCAAAACTAGCTGTGCCATAAACTATTTATTTTATTGTTTGTTTGGTGAATTATATTTCCATTTCACTAGTTGCCCGTTTCGTAATAAGTTTGTTTTTTTATTCGTATTACTAACTGCTCGTTTTATCGCCTGTCTGTCTAAATAGCCCTAACCTTCCGTTTCACCTTTTTCCAGTCTTACTGTCTGTTTACATTCATTTTATTATTTATTTGTTTTATCTTTTCTATCCATTTTGATAATTGTTCGTGTTTTTTTGTTTGCTCCATTTGTCTGTTTGTATAATTAACTGTCCGTTTATTAATTTTTGTTTTAGTGTCTATAGTTATTTTATTTATTGTGGTTTGTTATAAATTGTCTGTTCATTTTGACAGTAACTGTATACATGTCTTAGAACACATAAAACAATACTTCGAAATGTATGTGTTTGAACACATCAAAACATACATACGTCAACATTTATCTGTTTGATTACATCAAAACATACATCAACATTCTTGTGTTTTACCACATCAAGACACACCTCAACATTCATGTCTTAGAACACATAAAACCATACTTCAAAATGTATGTGTTTGAACACATCAAACATACATCAACATTCTTGTGTTTTACCAAATCAAGACACACTTCAACATTCATGTCTTAGAACACATAAAACCATACTTCAAAATGTATGTGTTTGAACACATCAAAACATACATACGTCAACATTTATCTGTTTGATTAATCAAAACATACATCAACATTCTTGTGTTTTACCACATCAAGACACACTTCAACATTCATGTGTTTAACATAAATTTTTTCATGCAAAGTAACTTAACACCACAGTGTGGTTTCAATGACACTAGCAGTTAACATTACTATAAGTTTGTTTTCATGCAGGAAAAGTCATTACCTATCAAAATGATTAATAATGTTTGTTTTAAAAGTGTTGAATTGAACACAATGAATATTTCTGACGTTCTTTCCAACGATAATGATGTCTAGTCCAATTCTTCTGCTTCTATTGCATAAATTATGTAATTTTTCTTGATATTTTCTATATTTTATTGAGTACATAGGTGCTTCTATTTTTGTTTAGGGAACTGCCTCTGAGTTATAAACCATATTTAACTATTTTCATAATTAATTTTTTTAGACCGACTTGTTTTGCTGTAACTCGTTAATCTCCCCTGAAAAACCGGTTTCGATAAAATTCGTGTAATTTTCCTATTTAATGTTTCAATGAATAGAAATTAAGCCCTCACGACATACTTACGAAATACTATCATTTTCTGACTCAGATTTTCAATCTTTTATCCTCTTTTTGCTAGCGTCTCTTTTTCCATTGGGCAATTCTTTCTCTGTGGATGTTATAATATCAATAAATATGGTGGTACAAACAATATGTTATGGTATGCTGTATATATATTTTTATTATTTTCAGTACACAGTAAAAATAATAACTAACTCCACAAACAACCATATGAACAAATCGTTATAAGCAAAGCTCTAGAAACTTCTACCACTTCGCTCGTTAAGAAACTCATAGTAATATGCCCCCCCCCCCGTGTTCATGTTTTTTCGACAAGCTATTAGTTGTATCATTTTTTGGGATATGTATTACTCATATCATTCTTGCAACCTCTTAAAGATTTCCGTATGTTTATCGTTCTTATGTGTTTTTGCGTAGATAGAAAACAAGTAGTAATTACGCACATTCGTACGTTCCGTACAACTAGGCTGTGCGTAAGGTTTAATCTGATATCAGACAAAAGATTTTCCTGATTCTCACATAAAAGAAAATAACAAGTTATTAATTAGGAAAACCAAAATGTGGAGTATCC